ACACAACAACACACAAAAACACACAACAACACACAACAACACACAACAACACACAACAACACACAACAACACACAACAACACAACAACACAACAACACACAACAACACACAACAACACACAACAACACACAACAGCACACAACAGCACACAACAGCACACAACAGCACACAACAGCATACAACAGCACACAACAGCACACAACAACACACAACAGCACACAACAGCACACAACAGCACACAACAGCACACAACAGCACACAACAGCACACAACAGCACACAACAGCACACAACAGCACACAACAACCACAACAACCACAACAACACACAACAACACACAACAACACACACAACAACACACACAACAACACACACAACAAGACACAACAACACACAACAACACACAACAACACACAACAACACACAACGACCACAACGACCACAACGACCACAACGACCACAACGACCACAACGCCACAACGACCACAACGACCACAACGACCACAACGACCACAACAGCCACAACAGCCACAACAGCCACAACAGCCACAACAGCCACAACAACCACAACAACCACAACAACCACAACAACCACAACAACCACAACAACCACAACAACCACAACAACCACAACCACCACCACCACCACCACCACCACAACCACCACAACCACCACAACCACCACAACCACCACAACCACCACAACAACCACAACAACCACAACAACCACAACAACCACAACAACCACAACAACCACAACAACCACAACAACCACAACAACCACAACAACCACAACAACCACAACAACCACAACAACCACAACAACCACAATCACAACCACAAGAACAACACCAACAACCACAACAACAACGCAACGACAACGACAACAACAACACCAACAACACCAACACCAACAACACGACCAACAACACCAACACCACCAACAAACCCAACCACACCAGCAACACTAACAATACCAACAACACCACCAACACCAACAACACCAACATTAACAACACCAACACACCAACACCACCAGCACCACCGACAGTACCAACACCACAACCACCGCCAACCCCAACCACACCGCCGAAGCCTTTCCGTCGCTTTTACCAGACTCCACTTTATATTTTTAGAGAGAAAATGGCCGCGTCGCTTTTACCAGACTCCACCTCATGTTTTTTTCCTTGCCCTCTCTCCTTTCTTTTTTCTTCGGTTCCTTTCTTGCTCACCTACCTTTCGTGTTCCCCCTCTCAAGTTTGCATAACATTAGGCATGTCGACAAAGACGTGATGAAGAAGCGATTCTTCGATCTTTGCTGAGGCAGATGAGCAGTGTGACTTGTTGCATTTCCTTCGCGTCTACAAGTCATCATTTTCTTTTTCTCATTTAATTTGTGATGAGAAAAATGCTGTTCCCACAACATGGGCCCTTTCAGAGACAGTGGATCACTCGAATTCTAGGCCTCTTAAAATCACTTGAGTAACACTCTTTTTGTTTGCGACCTTTCTTTCATGTTTGCATATGTTTGCATTATTTTGCACACATCCTCTTCCTGGAAATATGAAGTGGGCACAGGCAAGTCAACCTCTTGTACATCGATGCCGCCTCCAATCCGTTCTATAGCAGGCTTGGGAAGGCACGGTTATTTCTAGAAGTGCAAAGTGGCAGGGAGAAGATGCTCAGCCCCCCAAAGAGCGGAACCAAACCCCGATTTGCATAGGTTAGTCACTAATTCCAAATACTTCCAAGTGTGTTGCAACATCAATGATTTATATAGTATGATTTAATCTTACGTCGTTCAAGAACCACGTCAATTAATGATCATTAAAACATCTATGGAGCAAACCTGGCGCATGCACATTGAGCGGGGTGCCACATTTTCGCTGATGCTGAATTATTGCTCCGAGCGTTCTCCTGGCTCCAGCTGGCTGCATTCATTTTAATTTTTTGCATTCCCAGGTGGTGCAAGAACTGTTGCATTCTAATTTTGGTTTCCACTTATCAATTATATACTTTTTGCACTATTTTTGCAGTATTTTGTATTCGTCCATTGCTCCAGTGCTTGCCATTGCGATCAAGCACGGTCTCTGCTCATGGCAATCCTTGCCCATATGGATGCAGCAAGATCCATGGTTCAATGTGAGTTCGATTCAACACTGGGAGAGGCAAAGAGGCTTGCAAAGCAAGTTGCAAAGCAAGGCATTCTTGGACACAAACAGCTTTTGGAAATTCAAAGCCTCCAAATACAGCAATTCGGAGGCATTTGCACTTGGTACAAGAAGCTGTCGCGAACACAGCAATTTGAAGTCACAAGAGATGTGTTTCAAGATGTTTCAAGGTCTAAATCATTTGCAGCAATCTGAGACCTGCAGTGATGTCGATACAGGGAGTGTCTGGCAAACATGGGCAAAAATTGCGGTCTATGAAGAAGCGCATTCAGTCAGCTCAACAAATTGTTGATGTTACAGAACCTGCCTAAAATGGATCTGAATCTCCCAACCTGCACTGTTCAGAAATTGAGAAAAAATGAGGAGTGTGCTTTGATTATTGTTGCCTTGAAATGCCTTGAACAAATCCAGTCAAAAACGGCTAGCCGCTAGTCCGAGCTATAGGCGTCGCCACTGTTGCGAGTAGAAGTAAATACATCCCCAGTAATCCCCAGAACGATTCATAACTTCTACCGCCTCATCTGCCTCCAGAAATCCAAGTCATCAGTATGTCGCAGTATGTGCAACAAGGAGATGACCTCAAATTCGCCAGCTGCCTGCAAACCATCTCTGAAGACTCAGAATTGAGCTTGAGCACTGATGCTTGGTAGAGAATTTGTGAGATCCTGAAAATTCCTGAAACAAATGCAGCAAGCTCCGCCTCTGTTGCTTATTGTCCATTTCTTGATGCTGCTCGTGTATCTTGGTTCTTACATTAAGAATTTCTAACGTTTTATAGCTGCAATAAACTGCGAACCCTGTAGTTAGGGATTCGACACACGTGGTCGAATCACCTGAATGATGAGGACTGCAGCGAGGCATCGGGTGAAGACAGCCCCGTGAGCCTTGACACAGCAGAGGCCTTGCTGACACTTGGATTTTACCATATCCAAAGCATTCCAGTTTGCATCAATTTGCCAGAATCAACTACTATCTCTTATAAAAATATATAGTAATCCTTTTAGCACAAGTGATTTTTGCTTCAGCTGCTGAAACCGGAAGAGCGTTGAGCATTTTCCCAGGATTTTTGATTGGGATGACACCTTGTTGCCTACCAGCTGGATTTCTCAGCAGGTGACTGGCTCAGCATGTCTGATCCAGAATGCATTGAAAGTGGCTCATGGCTCATGGACCATTTGCAATACATTACAATACACAATATCGTCATATTGCATACTAGTATGTTTATTTGTTGTAATTTTCCTAAAAAGAACGAAAGAAAGAAAGAAAAGAAAGAAAGAAAGAAATAAAAGAAAGACCAGAAAGAAAATAAAGAAAATAAATAAAGAAAAGAACGGAAAGAAAAAAAGAAAAGAAAGAACAGAAAGAAAAAAGGAAAAGAAAGAACATAAAGAAAAAATAACAGAAAGAAAAGAAAGAAAAGAAAGAAAGAACGAAGGAAGGAAGGAAGGAAGGAAAAAAGGAAGGAAGGAAGGAAAGAAAGGAAGGAAGGAAGGAAGGAAGGAAGAAGGGAATATCATATAATATAATCGTATTCATATATTTACATAATTATATTGTACATATAAGCATATTTATGCCAACGGACTCGTTACCGTCGCACAAATCCACATCCGGTAGCCTGGGGTGGGGTGGGGTGGGGTGGGGTGGGGTGGGATAATAACGTTAGTGGCATTTCCACATGAACTTGATGCTACGCTCTATGATCTGCATTGGCATTTGCACATGAACTTGATGCTACGCTCTATGATCTTCAATTGCAATTCCACATGAACCTGATGCTACGCTCTATGATCTTCAATTGCAATTCCACATGAACCTGATGCTACGCCCTATGATCTTCAATTGCAATTTCACATGAACTTGATGCTACGCTCTATGACCTTCATTGGCATTTCCACATGAACTTGATGCTACGCTCTATGATCTTCATTAGCATTTCCACATGAACTTGATGCTACGCTCTATGATCTTCATTGGCATTTCCACATGATCTTGATGCTACGCTCTATGATCTTCATTGGCATTTCCACATAAACCTGATGCTACGCTCTATGATCTTCAATTGCAATTCCACATGAACTTGATGCTACGCTCTATGATCTGCATTGGCATTTCCACATGAACTTGATGCTACGCTCTATGATCTTCAATTGCAATTCCACATGAACCTGATGCTACGCCCTATGATCTTCAATTGCAATTTCACATGAACTTGATGCTACGCTCTATGACCTTCATTGGCATTTCCACATGAACTTGATGCTACGCTCTATGATCTTCATTAGCATTTCCACATGAACTTGATGCTACGCTCTATGATCTTCATTGGCATTTCCACATGATCTTGATGCTACGCTCTATGATCTTCATTGGCATTTCCACATAAACCTGATGCTACGCTCTATGATCTTCAATTGCAATTCCACATGAACTTGATGCTACGCTCTATGATCTGCATTGGCATTTCCACATGAACTTGATGCTACGCTCTATGATCTTCAATTGCATTTCCACATGAACCTGATGCTACGCCCTATGATCTTCAATTGCAATTTCACATGAACTTGATGCTACGCTCTATGACCTTCATTGGCATTTCCACATGAACTTGATGCTACGCTCTATGATCTTCAATTGCATTTCCACATGAACTTGATGCTACGCTCTATGATTTTCAATTGCAATTCCACATGAACTTGATGCTACGCTCTATGATCTGCATTGGCATTTCCACATGATCTTGATGCTACGCTCTATGATCTTCATTGGAATTTCCACATGATCTTGATGCTACTGTCTATGATCTTCATTGGCATTTCCACATGAACTTGATGCTACATTCTATGATCTTCAATGTGAGAAAAAGTTGCGGTTGCCCTTTTTGAGGCTGAAGTGATGGAAGGGTTGTCATTCCCAAAGTAGACGGACCTTTTTTTGATAGGTTTTGAATGCAAAAACTGGCTCCTCGCTGTGAGGATGTAGTAATTTTGATCATTTTCGCACGCCGGTAACGCTTCCGCCGGGATATTTATGTTTACACATGCACATATTTTTAGGTACTTTATATGCACATATTTTATCCCTCAAGAAACCCTGCAACCAACCTTAAACAAACTTCAACTGGATCCAACCAACTTGAAGAAGAACCTTGAGCCAACTACAGGACCCTGAACCAAACCTAAAGAAACCCCAAACCAAGCCTAAAACCAACCCTAGATAAACCTTAAACCAACCTTAAACAAATCCGAAACCGACACTGCCATAACATTCAATGAAGCCCCCCTCCCGCTTTTTTATTCAAGTCCAACTTTGCACGCTTGCAATAAACTTCTCTGCATGTATATGTATATATATATATGTTTTTCCATGTGTTTAGATATTTATCAAATATGTGTGTATATTTTTCTCTCTCTTTCTCTCTCTATTTGCACAAGAAACTGTAATATATATATATATACACAATGATATATATATATATAACATGATACATAACCTTATTGACATATAATATCATATATACATCATTTTTCTTGATCTCTTGGGAATATTGTTGATCCCAGAACATTTTTTGATCCCTTGCCCTGTGCATATGATCATATATTACCAAATATCAATAAATAAACACATATATATATAAACATATATATATAAACATATATATATAAACACACATATATATATATATAGATATGCATATATGTATAGGTATGGATATGCATATTTACAACTGTTTACATGCACGCACCGATCCCCAAATAAACCTAATCCAACCCTAAAGCAACCGCAGACAAACTTTAAACAGACCCTATACCGACCCCCCCCAAAAAAATCTTAAACCAGCCCCAAATAGACCCTAAAACAACCATCAATGAATCTTAAACCAACCCGAAATGGATTCATATTTTGGATAGCTGCTCCAAGTGGCAATCCAGACCCAACATCAAAGTCTATTTCTGTCTGGAATAACTTTTTTTGATGCCTTCGAGTGGCGAGCTAGAGCATTTCGATCCCCTGTTGCCTGATCAAAAAAACATATTTTGGATCAAAAATATATATTCAATCCACCACTGAAATATATTTCTGTAGGAAATGTTTTTTTTGATCCCTCACTCCACAAAAAAGGGAGGTCAAGATCGGACAATGCTGCTGGATGGTCATAGTTTTGATTTTCGTCCGCAGCCGGTTTTTTGGCGGAGAAATGGATTGCATGTGGTGGAGTAATGGATTTTCGGGCGTCGGCAGGATGGAGTGCAGGCCAAAAGAAAATAGACACGATGCAAGCTCCTTGCAAGTGGAAATTCGGGCGTCCGCAGGTGATATATATATATATAATATAGTTGCGGACTCAAGGTTGGAACCACATTTTGGAAAAGTTGGCGAAAATCCGACCTCACGAGTTAGAATCAGAGAATCGATAGTTTGAAGTTTGAATGCCTTCGCCACCCACGAGATAGAACCTCGCCACCCACGAGATAGAGCCACTGGACGTTGTACTTAGAACCTTTTCTGGATCTGCGTATACAACCATGATGTTGTTTACGATCTGCCATGTCCGTGGCGCCACCAGATGCATGTTTGTACTAGAAGGCATGGATGCGTATATAGAAACACATAGCGACGGACTCTTTCATGTATATATACATATTATTTTAGATATGTATAGGTATAGGGCCTAGGGGCTTAAGTATACGTTTCTGCAAGGAGGAATGAATTTGTATACATATATATATAGATATAGCGACGGACTCTTTCATGTATATATCCATATTATTTTAGATATGTATAGGTATAGGGCCTAGGGGTTCTAAGTCTACGTTTCTGCAAGGAGGTATGGCAGATCTTTGATGTATATTATTTTTGTGATTATTTGTGTATTATTGTTTGGTTCTAAGCAAAGGGGTTCTAAGTAAGGGTTTGTGGGTTCTAAGCATAAATGTTCTAAGTAAGTTTTTTTTTTTTGCTTAGTTATATTTTGGAAAGAGTTTTTGGTTCTAAGTCTAAGTCCGTCGCTATATATGTATATATATACATATTTATATATATATATCTTTATGTACATGTATGTATATACATTTATACATTTACCTCCATACTCATCTATACATCCACACATCGACACATTTATTCATATATCTTTGCAACTACAATTACGTCTATAAATCTTGACATCTTGGCATCTATACATCTATCAATATATACATGCATGCATGCATGCATGCATACATGCATACATACACGCATACATTCATACATTGATAAACATTTACATTGATGCATATGTATGTATAATTATGTTTACACATACACATACATATGTAAAGAAAAATACGAAAGTATCTAATTGATTGCGTACATATACGGCTGCAATTATAATACTTGTATTGAGATATGTGTATGTATCTGTATACGTATATATATATATGCACACTTCATGATGTGCAAATTAGACTAGCAGTGCCCAGCCGAGGGCTAGATGGATTTACGGAGTGGTATGTTTCATTGTATAGATTTACATTGACGGATATTGGTTTAATGATTGAATTTTTGAGTACTTTGTATATAGTATACTACATACATATGATATTTATGTGTGCATAGCTATCATTTTGATGCACGCATCCCTGTTGTTTTTTGCAATATGTGGTGTGCGTGGCCCTGCGTATGATTTACGATGCTTTTTGTCCTAAATATGTTTGCATTTTGATGCTATAATATATATATACACACTATATATACATATATACACATTATATATACATATATACACATTATATATATATACATACACATAATATATATATATATGTATAATATATATATATATATGTATAATATATATATATATAGATGTATTAATTCATAATATATATAATAGTTTTTTTTAATTTAACACATATAATATAATACATATATATACAATATGATATATATCTAATATAATCTATATAATACAATGTATATAATATGGTATAATAAAATATGATATAATATATTATGATATGATATAATATGATATGATATAATATGATATAATATAAGATAAATATTATATATACATTTCATACATATACAATCATATAAACATGTATATGCATTTGATTTTTCCCCATATACATGTAGATATAAATACATATGTGTGTACTGCATGTGTTTTATCTATGTGTATACATAGGGTTTGTTTATATTTAGGTATATGTACTAGAATGAACATGGAGCAGCCATACAAAGCTCATCTGAGGAGACGAGTAGCCAGTGTCAGAGATGAGCTCATGTAATTTCTTTGCTGGCTTATGATTGACATGCAGCTCTGGGGACACAACTGGGGCATTGCACGCCAGGGTTGGCTGAATGTATCTGGCGACCTAGTTGACCGGCCTGATGCGACGTGGCTGGAATGATGTCATTACTTCGTGCGTTTTTGGAGCCGCCCTGTGGCCTTGACTCCATTTGAATCCAACTTGACACATGCCAGTATGATTCTTCAGCTGTACTTGTAACATTCTTCAGCTGTACTTGTAGCGCCCCAGGAGATAATCCTCACGCGGGAGCAGCAGGTTCTACTGCAGGAGCTAGAAGTCAAAGTTGAGCAAACTTTGCTCACAGTCTGGAGCTTATGCGGCCAATGGCTGCCGAAACCACCGCACACATTGAACCACATTGATGACATTATTCTATCCATAATTCCATCAGGATTTCCGCTTCATGAACGATCAATGCACGCGTGCATACAAACATACAAACATACATACATACATACATACATACATTGGTGTGATTGAAAGCGTAGTATACCTTCAGATGGCAGTTTTTAAAGGCAAAAACAATACCCCGTCCAGATTTTCAAACACACCCATATATGTAGATATGCATATATGTATGTATAGATCTCTATATGCATTGATTTTTACTTGCATTTATAAACATTTGTAAACATGTAAATATGTATACGTATGTATATGTATCTTTGTGTGTGTGTTGCGACATGTATACATTTAAAAAGCAACTATGTATATTAATATATGTTTACATGTAAATATGTATATACGTACGTATATAGATGTAGATGTGTAGATATTTGCAAATATGTATAATTACGTGTCAACGTGTAGATGTATTTTTGTGAGTATGTAGATATGTAAATATGTAAATATGCATATATGTATACATGTATGTATGTAAATATTTATATACACACATATATATATACACATGTATATATGTATGTATATGTATATATATAAATGTGTATATATATATGTATGTATATGTATATATATGTATATATATATATGTATATATATGTATATGTATATATGTATTTATGTATACGCAAACGAATGTATATATGTATTTATATATGTATTTAAATATGTATATATATATATACCTTTCTATATATGTATTTTTCTGTAATTGTATTTGCAGATATATGTAGATATATGAAGATATGTGCTGATATCTGTATATATATGATTATATGTATATGTATATGTGTATATAAAAATATGTATATATATATATGTCTAAATCTATATATGTATAAATGTATATATGTATATCTGTATATATGTATATATGTATATATGTATATCTGTATATGTGTATATATGTATATATGTATATATGTATATATGTATATATGTATATATGTATGTATGTAAATATATATATAATGTACATATATATTTGTATATATGTGTATGTATATACACATATGTCTATATGTATATTTGTGTATATGTATGTATACACATGTCTATATATATATGTAAATATATGTATATATGTATATATATGTACATATATATGTATATATATATATGTGTATATGTATTTATGTATATATATATATATGTATATGTATATTATGTATATATGTATATGTATATATGTGTATATATATGTATATTTATGTATGGATATATATTTATATATTTATATATGTATATATGTATATATGTATATATGTGTATTTGTGTATATGTATATATGTAAATATGTATATATGAATATATGAATATATGTATATATGTAAATATATATATATATATATGTATATATGTATATATGTATATATGTATATATGTATATATGTATATATGTATATATGTATATATGATATATATGTATATATGTATATATATGTAAATATTTCTATACGTACATATTTATGTGTGTTTATATGCCGATGCGTAGATGTGTAGACATGTGTCAATGTGTATGTTTGTTAATGCCTATTCTATTTGTATTCATGTAGATATAAATATGTATGCATGTATATATGTATACACACAGCATGTACAGTGCATGTACATTTTTTGGAATACACCTCATGGTTGTCAGCTCCATCCCCAAACTGAGACAGAGGCCATGACACATGGCAGAGTCGTCATCGTGACAAATGCAGCAGATGGATGGATAGAGACAAGTTGCGCGGCATTCATGCCTGGTTGCTCGGCATCGTCAAACTACTTGTTTTTTCTGCCGCGGTTATTTGCAGAATCCTTGACTCCTTTCTGTGCCTTCCACCGCCAGCCATTATATACGTAGTTTCAATCCCGGTGCATGGAAACCTGCATGTTGTACTCAAAAGGATGCTATCTAAAGGTATTGCCACACTTTCTTGTCCTTTACTATTCCTGGCATTCCTTTTCAACACATTGGCTGTTCGTAAGTGACATGAAGTTACACTGTCCATCACACTTCATCGCTCTCTTATTCTATGAGAGGCTTGAGACCTTTGCTGGATGAGATCGATCTTCTGTCTGCTCGGTCCGCTTACGCCGCTCAATGGGAAGAAGAGTATGAGAAAACACCCCTGTGATGCTCTTTCATGCAGCTTCGAATACCGCAATTGATGACTCGTCATCAATTTTGCATGTTGTGTGATCAAGACTGGACACCAGTTGTTTTTCTAAACTGCACTCTCCCCAGCCACAAAAGTGTGAGCCGAATGTTTAGGAGGGGCTTGGAAGTGACTGTCCAATGGAATGGAAGCGTCGAGCTTTTTCAGACGTTTTGGCCGCTGCTTTCGAGTATGACGAGGGCAGGAGGGGTGCGAGTTGTGTTGAAGTGACAGAGAATGAATTACTGATTCAGTTCCAAAGCATCTGTCAATTCTGTCTTGGGGTCGCAGGCCCAATGTGATCTCCATCGGTGACTCTGTCTATGAGCAGGCCGCGCTTGCATTTGCAACCAAGCGTGCCTTGGTAAAGACCAGGCGAAGACTCCAGAGACTGACTCCGTAGACTCTAGATAACTCTCTAGATAACTCTCTAGATATCTCTAGATATCTCTAGATATCTCTAGATATCTGTGTAGATGACTCATCGCATGACTCTACTTGGGAAGACGTTGGGGCGAAGAAGTTGGGGTGACTTTTCTTGTCAGTTGGGGGGTGTAGTTCCATGCAGCCGATTTAGACCAGACTTGAGATCTGAACTTAGAGCCGTGCACACTGTCGATCGGCTCTGAGTTTTTCGCGTTTTTCGGATTGAGGCATACCCAACTGTAGGTCAAAAACGCTGAAGCTACTGGATGCTTGGCAGATCTTGGTAGCCAAAGCGTTTGATTGAAAGCAATGCTTCAAGCACTTCAGAAGTCTCAAGGTACAGTAGTGACATAGTGCCATTAATGGCTCCAAACGAGCAACCTTGGCTTTGAGTTTTGATCTCTCCTGACAGTGACAGGGACAAACACGCCAAACTAATCTGAAAGTCATCTCAAAACGACATTAAACAGTCGCCTTTGTCCTGTTTCAAGCCGGTTACACCGTTTTCCAAAATTGAAATGCATTTCTTCCTCCAGTTTCTTTTGGTGTGTGCTACCTTGCTTCAGAATTCGTGGCAGCCATTGTCCCGACTGCATTTTCTTCTTCGCCTCCTGCACACCACTTACGAGTGAAAGCCCTTGACAGATTCATTGCGTGAATTTGAATCGCATCTGTTTGTAAACAAGATGTTGTGGCAGATGCAGCACAGGGGGTGTTGCAATGGCAGATTAATTAGGTGCCAAGTTAAATGCGGATTTCTTGGCTGTTAAACTTCATGGGCAAGTTGAGTGCAAACCGGTGATATCCCCCAGCTTGGAGGTGTCCTGTGCCCTTGCGTGGTAAACTCATGTAGACTCTACAGGTATGATACCTAGCCTAGCCCCCCAAGTCCCAAAGCCTCAAAGTGCCGTGCCCCAAATCTTTGAGTGGTGTAGATCCTCAGATCATGCCTAACCCCTCACCCAATGCCGAAGATGTCCTGTATAGCCTCAACCCTTTTCTTTCCTGAGAATCTCTCAAGCATCATCAATGTATCATGTGTAGCCCAGTGCTGTGACCCAACCCCGACCACCTGACCACCTTCCATGTAAAGATATGTAAAGCATTGGCTTAAACTTTTAAATAAAGGCTTAAAGCATCTAGCAGCTTGGCGAGATTTGGCGAGTGTGGTGACCCAGAATCAACGTGTCACTGGCACTGGCAATACAGCCTGAACACCAGGAAAGTCCAGACATTCGGCAGCTGATTGAGGACAGGGCCTTGGTGCAACTGGAACGTGTCTTCGCCGTTTCCTGAAACTGCACTGACATGCTGACAATTTTACAAATGTTTACAATGGTTTATACATTGATTTGTTGTATTTTGCAGTCATTTACAAAAAAACTGAGGCTTGGAGTCTCTGCATTGGTACTTGTACCAGTAGTACCGCACAAGGCGGTGGCGGAAGTTTCAAAGATAGGACAGTATAGGAGAGGTGAGTTGTTGTGATGCATGGATGGCAGGGCGAATCCACTGATGGACCGAAAGGTGGTTGGAGTTGTGTTTTTTTGGAATGGTTGCAATGGTTGCAATGGTTGCAATGGTCACCTCACCACAACTGCTAGATGTATCTATCTATCTATCTACTTATCTATCTATCTGTCTGTCTGTCTATCTATTTATAGAATCTATCTATCTGTCTATCTGCAAGCTTGAAAACGAAGCTATTCTGCGAGACCGTCTCAGTTTTTGAACTTGACAAGATCAAAAACGAATCAGTTCTGCGAGACCAATCGCTGGCGCTTGCCACGCAAAACCACATCTGTCTGTCTATCTGTCTTTCCATCGCTCTGTCGAGCTGTCTAGCTAGCTATCTATCGATCGATCTATTTATCTATCTATCTATCTACCTATCTATCTATCTGTCTGTCTATCTATCTATCTATCTATCTCTCTCTCTTTTTCTCTCTCTGTATCTATCTATCTATCTGTCTGTCTGTCTGTCTGTCTATCTATCTATCTATCTATCTATCTATCTCTCTCTCTCTCTCTTTCTTTCTCTCTGTCTTTCTCTCTGTCTATCTGTCTGTCTGTCTGTCTGTCTGCCTGTCTACCTCTCTATCTATCTATCTATCCATCCATCCATCCATCTATCGATCGATCTATCGATCGATCTATCGATCTATCGATCTATCCATCTATCGATCGATCTATCGATAGATCTATCTATCTATCTGTCTATCTGTCTATCTGTCTATCTATCTATCTATCTAGCTAGCTATCTATCTATCTATCTATCTATTAATTTTCTAGCCGTCTATCTATCTTTCCATGTGCCTATCTATGTGTCTATCTGTCTATCTCTATTTCTTTACAGTTGTTTTTTCGATATTTGTCAATCTATGTAATGACTTGTCTATCTGTCTGTCTTTCCACCTGTCTTTCTATCTATCCATCCATCTATCTGTCCATGCGCTTATCCAGCCAGCCATTTAAGTGCCCAACCATTTTGCGCATCTATCTATCTATCTATCTATCTACCTACCTATCTATCTACCGGTCTATCTATCTGTCTATCTATCTGTCTATCTATCTGTCCACCTATCTGTCTATCTATCTGTCTATCTATCTCTCTATCTATCTATCTGTCTATCTATCTATCGGTCTATCGGCCTATCGGTCTATCGATCGATCTATCTATCGATCTATCTATCGATCTAGCTATCTAATCGATCTATCGATCTATCTATCGATCTAGCTATCTATCTATCTCTCTCTCTCTCTTTCTATTTTCATATTTATATGTATTTATATAGTATATATATATATCCTGTGGGACGTCCTCAATTTTTGAACCTGACAACGTCAAAAACGAAACTATTCTGCGCGACTCCCTCAATTTTTCAACTTGATAACATCAAAAACGAAGCAGTTCTGCGAGACTTCCTTCAAAAATGGAAAGTTGAGTGCTGAGCTGACACCCTCGTGCCAATATTTTTGCGATTTTTCCATCCCATCTCACACACAGGTAATGCGCCGCCCACCAGAAAGTGATGCCAAGTCATACAAAGTGCTGCGCTTGTCACGCAAAATCATCTTCGCAAACCTGATGATCTGATGCTCCAAAATGCAACCGTTCTCAGGAAATCAGCACCCTGGCCTCCTAACATCTCTGATGAACATGTTTGTTGTATTGCGCCTGCCACGCGAAATGCATCTTTGCGGATCCTCTTCCAATGTCCACGCCTGCCATCCTTCACGTTTTGCTCGCTTGTGGCAGGGTGCAGAATCCCTTGCGCTTGCCACACAAAACGAGCGCTTCGTGAACATGTGGTCTTCGAAATGTGCTTGGCGCCGCAACGGCATGCACTTTTTCGACATCTGAATCTGAACTTCCAAAAGTCTCCGAAGCTGAGGTGCTTTGTACATTTTGACTTCGAAATGTGCTTCGCATCACAACGGCGTCCACTTTTTCGACATCTCAACTTCCAAAAGTGCTCCAAACCCGTCAGTTTTTAGCACTTTTGATTTCCAAACGTGCATCGCGTCACAACGGCGTGGACATCTCAACTTCCAA